GAAAAACTGCTTTGTAAGTGGTGTGAAGATGTCGATTGTGTTTTCTTTTGTGCGTGTTAGTTGGTGTGGGGTGTGTGCTTTATATGGTTTGTTGTTCTTGAATTTTTAAAAACTTGATACTTTCTATATTTCGTTTCGATCACCCTTGACGAGAAAAAAAATCGAAATTCTAATATAATGCATCAGTTTATTTGTCTGTTTGTCTTTTTATTTTTGGCCATGGCGTTGTCAGTTTGTTTTCGATCTATGAGTTTGACTGTCCCTCTGGTATCTTTCGTCCCTCTTTCAAATTCGGCATCACATAACTCTGCATTAGCTATGTTCCTGCTACTAGATCTGACTTTAAATTCGTATGACGGCTGACACTTTTTTATTTGTTGTGACAGAAAGATACACGTTGAGCTCTTAAGAATTTGAACTTTGAGTTTAGTTTATCTTTTAAACTTATTTTCCTCTTGATTTTATTGAACTAGTTTTCTTTTATCTTGATATGACAGAAACAAATTGTATATTTACTTAGTACAAAATTCAAAATAATTTCAGGAGACACGTCTTATTACACCATGACCAGTTACAACAACAGACTAGACAGAGCTGGTGGTACATCGAACAGGAGAAGACTTTACTATAATAACTGAAGACGATTTTCATCGATATCGTCATCTGATAATGGACAAACTGTTTCAAGATATGCTATGTCTGATCATTGTGGAAAACAATTAAACTAAGAGTTCATCATTTGTTATTTTATGAAAATTTACAATGAAATATATTAGAGAAAAATTGTGTATTACTTGTTAAGATTATTCAAACACTTTAGAGGTTAAACTTTATTTTTCTGTTGTTGTTTTCTTATACATCGTGAGCGAGTATAATGGCTTATTGAGGAAAATATATGTTGTAAAGTAAGAAAATGGGTTACAAAATGTAATATATCTAAATATAAGAGATCATGTTAAAAAAAGCCTTAAATCATATGAGCAAGACTAGTCCTTAGCAAACATGTAGAGCCAATTTCCTCGAGCTCTCAATTTCTTTCACCTTTGAATCAGTGTTGACTTAAATTCAAATTGTCACAGCTTCATGTGTATTTTCAGCACTAACAACAACAAGCAGAATAGTATTAATAGTAAATGCTTAAAGATGACTCTAACTGCAGTGTTGATAGACTTTTATACTTGTTCTGCCCCCGCCGTCACCGGAGAGGCATTAAGTGTTACCCTTGTCCGTACGTCCGTACGTACGTCCCGAAATTGGTTTCCATTCTCTAACTCTAGTTTGCCTCAACCAAATGTTATGAAATTTATACACAATGCTTATCACCACAAAACACCGATCGAATTCGAATTTGGGTAGCGTCACTTTACCATTCTCGCGTTATGCTCCTTTATAAGATTATATGCAAGCGGGGGCATCATCTGTGTCCCATGGACACATTCTCCATTACTCTAATTTTATGTTTGAAAAAGCCCAATAGTTACCATTCAGATGGTAAGTAATTCAATAAGGTTACAAGGTTGGCCGTGTAAATCATAAAATATTTTCAATGTGATTGCACATTATAGCGCAATATTTCAGGAAACAAATCAAATTTATGCAGTTTCAAATATAGCTGGTGTAATTAATTTATACAAAGAAACACATTTTTAGTTTTAAAGACCCATGCACTTTTGTAATGATGTCGTATGGCAGTAAAAATTATTTAATAAAATTGAGAATGGAAATGGGGAATATGTCAAAGAGAAAACAACCCGACCAAAGAGCAGATAACAGCCGAAGGACACCAATGGGTCTTCAACGCAGCGAGAAAATCCCACATCCGGAGGTGGTCCTCATCTGGCCCCTCAATAAAATTGTGTACTGATTCAGTGAAAATGGACGTCACACTAAACTCCTAAACATATAAAGGAACTAAAATTAAAAAAAACATACAAAGGCCAGAGGCTCCTGACTTGGGACAGGCGCAAAAATGCGGCGGGGTTAAACATGTTTTGTGAAATTTCAACACTCCCCCTATACCTCTAGCCAATGTAGAATAAAGAAACACATAGCAAAATGCACAGTAAAACTCAGTTAAAAGAAGTCCGAGTCCGATGTCAGAATAGGTAACAAAAGAAACTAAGCAAAATGACAATGATACATAAATTAACAAAGAACTACTAGCAGTTACTGGCATGCCAGCTCCAGACCTCAATTAAACTGATTGAAAGATTATGTCTTCATCATATGAAAATCAGGTACAATCCCTCCCGTTAGGGGTGTAGTATCATACCATCATAAAATATATGAGAAGAACATAACCCGTATCATGCCAACAACTGGGTTTAGAATAAATGTGTTTATTTCCGATGCAAAGACCCTATGAGTGAATCAATATCAATACCAAAATATGCAATCCTTAATGATCTGACAACAGTATCGTAACTATATCCCTTCCAAATAAGTCTGTTCAAAGGTTTGGTTAGCTTTTGGGGTGAATGCCGACATTTTTGTGCTCTGTAAAGAACATTACCATAAAATATTGGATGTGAAATACCTGAACGTATAAGATGTCTGCATGTTGATTTATATTTACAAATGATGTCCTTGTACCGATGATAAAATTTATTTAATGTTTTGACTAATTTGTGATATCGAAAACCCTGGTGTAATAATTTTTCAGTAATACAGAGATTTCTTTCGTTGAAATCAAATACGTTGTTACATACACGAGCAGATCGAACAAGTTGAGATATATAAACACCATAAGATGGTGACAAGGGAACGTCACCATCTAAAAATGGATAATTAACAATAGGAAATGAAAAATCATCTCTTTTATCATAAATTTTGGTATTAAGCTTCCCGTTAAAGATATAGATATCAAGATCCAGGAAAGGGCAGTGTTCATTGTTAGTATTAGCTTTATTTAAAGTCAGTTCGGCAGGATAAATCTCTTTAGTGTACATACTGAAGTCGTCATTATTGAGAGCCAATATATCATCTAAATATCTAAAAGTGTTATTAAATTTTTGAATCAGATGTTGTTTCGATGGGTCTTTGCTGATTTTAGTCATAAATTGTAACTCATAACAATACAGAAACAGGTCCGCAATAAGTGGTGCACAGTTAGTTCCCATGGGAATTCCGATAACTTTAAGATATACGGAATCTCCATATCAAACAAAAATGTTATCTAGTAAAAATTCAAGGACAGTTATAGTATCGATGCAGGTCCAATTGACATAGTTCTTTTGTTTGTTGTTACTAAAAAATGACTTAAAAGAGTTCGAACATATATATTCAGGGGTCAATATTACAATCTTCAAAATCATCAATCATTTTTATTGCTTACTGTGTACACAATATGAATCCAGATTTAGAGTATAAACACGTACAAAGGCCCGTATCCTTGTTTTATATAGAACATTAAATTTTACATTATAATTGAAACATTGCATAATAAACAAACAAGTTGTTTTTCGTCGTATATTTAATAATTTTATAATCTAAACATCTCATTCATCAAATATAAATATACAACACATGCATTTTTATTTAACATGCTACTAAGGAAAAAGCCTCTAGAAAAATCAAACTTGAAGTCTATAGCCTACATAGGCGCAGTAATCTGAAACAGTAGACAATAGTCCGTTTTCTTGAAAGTCAACAGACCATTCTGCAAAGACCAAGTAATCTAAGGGAAAATATTGAATTCCGTTTACACTGTAAGTATTCTCTAAATTGCTACGGTATTTTAGTAAAATTCTATTTTATTTGCTTTTTAGCTTTTATTGTATTTGTTTCCTATGCTTAGTTTCGCGTCTCCCTCAATGATGTCGTTTTCCTAAACCACGTGTTGTACGCACTAGAATCGATAGCATACGTTTATATTTGAACATATGCCACCGGGTCGCTACTGGTGGACTGTTAGCCTTTGAGCGTACCATCTGCCAAGTAACAAGTACCACAGTGCTACAATATTTGAGACGTTTGTTGCTGTCTAAATGCTATTATCTAATTGTACGAACACTGTGGTTGCAACTCCATGAGGCAAAGTAAAAATTTGGCTGCTTATGTCCTTTAGGTCTGCTGCTCATTAACGTACGTATTACGTATTTGGTTTTCCAAAACATATTGGACTCGGGCCTACTTGCCGAGTTGGTGTTGGTTGTTCAAGACACTATTGTGTACACAGTATCCAATATATCAAGTACAACGATATTGTTCAATTATGGAGAGGTCAGAGAAAAATGGCAAATATGCAAAACAACTTTTACAGATTGAAATACATGTACATTGAACAAATTTTTATGAATTATTAATTTTCGAAAAGTTTCGACGGAAGCTAATCTTTAAAGCTCGTTATGGATCAATTTCCTGTCAATAAAGATTCAAAATAGTGACCATTCGACAGCAACACTATGCAAGTCATCGCCAATTATTTATATAAAAAAAAAAATTCAGAACATATGGTTAGGATATGAACATTGATTTTTTGAAAGACACATTGAAGTACATTTGGTATAATTCCTTATTTTTACGTCAGTTAATTTAAAGTTTGGTCAATTTGTTCGTAAAATTGACACTTGAATATCTAATTTAGGGTCAATTATGAAGAATGAATTACTTAATGAAATAATTATGACTGCGATAATTTGTGAGACCGAATTACGATGACCGACTTCATAATGGAGACCTTATATCCTTTCTTTGTAAAATCATTAGAATATAACTCCGGCTCACAAGTTTGAGTGGGATCAAATTTTGACCTATGTACTTTTGGAGCAAACCAGCTGTGATAGCGGCAATCGAGAAATTTACATTGTGTTTGTAAATCACATTACATAAAGTTAAAACTGATTGATAAATAGATTAGGTATTGACAATTCACTTGGAAACTCAACATATACCCCCATGACACTTACAAAGAGGGAAATCCTGAATAATCATAGGTTTGTTCTGTGTTCCTTTGGAATTTTTGTCATTCCATTAATTGCCTTTTTTCTATTTTGTTGTAGAAAATATAAACTATGAGAAACTTCGTATTCATTTCCATTTTGTTGTTGTCGGTCTCTTGTGCAGGGTTTGTACCAAAGTTTGAACCTGCAGACTATTTCTATGATCAAAGTAAGTATAATTTTTGTTAACGTAGCTCAGCTATAAAAAGTATACAGAAGTCACTCACATAACCTGTCTGATAATTGTCAATTGTTACTTTATTCTTATACGATCAATGTTTGCTTTACTCTATACAGTTACTGCTTTAATTTACTGTATATATGATATTGACACAGATGGACGATTTTAAACTAAAATTCTATATAACAAATGTGAAGATTTCAACTTTCCAAAAAGTGAAATAACAAAAATACCAAACTTCAAGGAAAATTCAAATCGGAAAGTCCCTTATCAAATGGCAAAATCAAAAGCTCAAACACATCAAACGAATGGAAAAAAACTGTCATATTGACATTTCCTTATTTATGTAGAAAATGGTGGATTAAACCTGGTTTTATAGCTAGCCGAACCTCTCACTTGTATCATGACAGTTGCATGAAATTCCATTATATTGAAAAAATGTGTGAACAAAACAAACAGACATAATAGGTAAAAATATCAAAAATAGGGGTACAGCAGTCAACATTGTGGTATAATCTTAATCACTATAAAAACCAACAAATATGTCAACAAAGAAAAACAAAATGGCATATAGACAAAGCACATAAGCAAAAATGAAAGACAAGAATACAAAAAATGACCACAGCACAACAACACAATGGTGGGATGCATAAGTACCGAGCCACGCCAAAAGGATATTATCAAAAATGGACTAAACAGTAAATGTACATGACTTACGAATACAATTTCCGACAGTCGTTACCTTAAAGTGTGCGGAGTTCATATTTGGTGACAAGGGTTACTCATGTAAGTTTTAAAATACGTATAAAATTGAAAGATGTGGTATGACTGCGAATGAGACAACTTTCCACTTGACTCAATTGTATATGTATGAGTTCCAATTATCGTAGAAACAATTCTGTCCAGCCTCTTTTCTTCCATTGTGACATTACCGAATGTGATTTATCGCTGAAGTTTTACTTGCCATGAGCAACACAACGAGTGCCACTTGTGGAGCAGAAAATGAGTTCATTCCCTGATTTAATTTTGATCTTGTTGCTCAAACGATTCATGTGTACCTCTCCCTCTTTGTATTCGTTCTAGTTGTATGCCTTTACTTAAGAAGTTCTTTGTTCACCATGCAGCGATTGATTGAGCGCAGCGAGAGAAGTAGCACATGCTCAACTTTGTACTATTGATTATAGTGCGTGTTTGTGGTTTGTTGTTTTTACTTGTTTTAATGTAGGTCAGGTTTCTTATGGAAATTTCTATTTTTTAATATGTACTTCTAATGATTCATACTGTTCCTCTTATTACTTTTCTAATATACATATATTATGATTATCACATAATTAAAGGTCAATTTAGTCTTCTTCATTATTTTCAGGAGACTTGTATTATAGAAGAATGCCTCATTTGTTCAACTTCAGATACAGACCACGTGCATCTCAGAATACAAGTAGTTCGACATTAACAAGACTTTACTATGATGGTTAATAATTAAAATTAATCTGAATGTGAATAAAATGAAAATGTTCTCAGTCTACAGCAAGTTGTAATGGATCTTTAGGAACGAAATATTTATGCAAAATACATAAATACAGCAAAATTTGGACAACTTTCAAAATAGCAAAAATTGTAACGCACATTCAAAAAATAAATTTGGTCGTGGATTACTTAGAAAGAAAATAGATAAACTATATGAACTCTATCATTACGGAAGCGTATTAGTGACATATAACAGTTACTATTTAACGTTGTTTTTTTCAAAGTACAAATTTTGATTTAGAACATCTTAAAATTTCGACTTTTAAATGTAACTCAAAACTTCGACTCTTTTAAACTCGAAAGATACACTCAATTAAATGTGCAAATTGTTTATTAAGTTTTGAATCTTTATTTGAGTTTTGATTATCACTATGATAACTGTAAAACAATTGTTATTGCAAAATTGTAAGATTTGAAAGAATACTCTTTCCAAATAAATCAGACAAAATAATTATCAGAAAAAATATTCTCGCAGTGTTTTACCAAGCGTAGTGTAAAACATCTATGATATGCCATTTAAAAGAAAACAATGCTCGACAACAAATAATTCAAACACAAACACAAACTAGGCCTCTGAACACAAACAATGTACAAAAAAGTGACTCATTTTGCCTCTGTCATTTAAAAAATGTATAATTTACTCGAATACGAATATGAATACTTCATTAAATCCAATTAAAGGGCCTGTTTCCGATCATATACATATATATAGTATTAACTATACAGTAATTTTTTTTTAAAGATATGTTACATTGAAAATAAATGAATAAATTACTATCCTCTATCCAAGATGGTGTTTAAAAATAGATAAATAGAATATTAACCCTTTGTTATAAATAAAACATAAAATAAATCACTACGTCATGTATATTTAGTCACTGGAAGGCAAATTTTTTCTTATTTCAAAACAAGTACTAATAAATCTTGACACTGATGTATTATTATTTTCAGACTCACTGGACATCAACCAAATAAATTGATCGTACTTTGAAATATATAGGGAGTTCTTTACATTGAATACATGCTTCCTTAAGAATATTATTCCTTTCCTTTTCATATGCAGTGCATTCCATTAAAGAATGAAACTCGTCTTCAACCTGCATATTTTTACACTGCCCACAAAATCGTTTATCTTTGTCGATTCTTTGAAAAGTGATTGCAAAATGAGACCGATAGTAGATTATAGGTAAAAATTTGTCGCAAAATGACGGTTGTTTGTTCTGAAGTATGATTTTACTTAATTGCCTCTACGATCTAATACCAGGGTCCTCGCTCGTAAAACTTTACTCAGTACTCAGAGTACAAAATGTGTGCTCGAAACTCCAAATCCAGTATTTTGATTGGTAATTTTTTTGAGTCTGAGTACGATAATCGTGCTCGAAATTTTCATGACCGCAAGGCAAGATATTTTACAATTCGAACGCATTACTTATTTTTTCACGATCCTTTGTTCCGATATTCCGAATGACGACATATATACAAGAGACAAATGTTTAAAGTACTGTTTGTTCAATTATATATATATATATATTTTAAATAAGTGTATTTTTGATTAGTTGTTACTAAACATGCATTGGCTTTGAACTAGCTTGCAGTACGTAATTCATGCTGTTAAATATTTTGGGCCTTTTATAGCTTGCTATGCGGTATGGGTTTTGCTTATTTTTTACCTAAGTTGCTAACTTTTACCTCATTTGGTCTCTGGTTTAAAGTTGTCTCATTAACGATCATACCTCATCTTCTTATTTCTATATAAGCAACCATTATAACCAGTTGATTTGTAAGGTCTTCGATTCTTTTTGGGCAGTCATATTGGATTTGCAAAAAAATCTGTTAAGGTTTGTGTTTTTGTTTCCAATTCTTTATATAAACATGTGTTTGTTGCAAACCTTGAATTTTCTGTGCATAACAAGTGTCCCGTGATAGTTAAACAAAAGACCAAGATATGTATAATAGTCTATTATTTCTAAAGATCAAAATACAAATGCATGCTTGCTTCATTTTCCTAAAAAATCACTTTGTTTTACCAGTATTCATCTTAAGGTTCCACATGTTGCAATGAATTTAAAAAAGTATCATTAATTGCAATAGACAGCTAACTTTATAACCACTAATTACAGTTCTTTATAACCACTAATTACAGTTCTTAATAACCACTAATTACAGTTCTTAATAACCACTAATTACAGTTCTTTATAACCACTAATTACAGTTCTTTTAATTACGTAGAAAAGTGATGCTTTGAAAAATACCTCGAAGGAAATGAAGAGAACTTTTTATAGATATAAGAAGATGTGGTATGAGTGCCAATGAGACAACTCTCCATTCAAGTCAAAATTTATAAAAGTAAACCATTATAGGTCACAGTACGGTCTTCAACACGGAGCATTGGCTCACACCGAACAGTAAGCTATAAAGGGCCCCAAAAAATAACTAGTGTAAAACCATTCAAACGGGAAAACCAACGGTCTAATCTATATAAAAAACGAGAAACGAGAAACACGAGAACATCAGATTCCTGACTTAGGACAGGTGCAAACAAATGCAGCGGGTTTAAACGTTTTAATGGTACCAAACCTTCACCCTTTTTCTGAAACAATAGTGTATCATCACAACATAGAAAAACACACTATAAAATATCAACTGAAATAGCTTAACTCAATCAAAGGACATATTAACACCATTGAACATACACTGAACAAATAAATTTGACCTATGACACAATGTAAATACAATATAAATAAACTAAGTGAAGAATAATAAAAGTAACATGTTATATCGGTAAGAAATGTTAAACAATAAAAGAAAAACAATATGCTCGAACAAAAATACCATCCATTTGCAATAACTTTAAACACAAGTAAATGAAAATAATTTTGTTGTTAGGTATACGTGTACAGTACCAATAGAGAAAGGAAATATTATTACAAAATAAATAATTTTGAATACAAAATAAATAAACTAAGGGAAGAATAATAAAAGTAACATGTTATATCGGTATGAAATGTTAAACAATTAAAGAAAAACAATATGCTCGAACAATAATACCATCCATTTGCAATAACTTTAAACACAGGTAAATGAAAATAATTTTGTTGTTAGGTATACGTGTACAGTACCAATAGAGAAAGGAAATATTTTTACAAAATAAATAATTTTGATGTTCATACATATTCTGGGTCTGAAGCACTAAATCAGTACTTTGATTGAAGGTCTTTGTTTCCTTTTCTTTACGTAAACCTGTGTCATGTTTAGTGTTCAACGACAATTTTACTGCTTTTCGTTGAGTATTTTCTCCTACACTGCGTTAAAAAATACCATTCAACTCGTTTTTTTCCTACAAATTAAAAGATAATTTCTCGTTCTGCTGGAACATTACGAGATTTTGCTGTCAGTAACTGATTGTCCTGTAGATAAAAACTCGTCGTTACACGAAAAGCATAAGTTCACGTAATAATCTGTAAAGGATAATTAATTAAAAATATTACAGTCATTCATTAAATTTGTAAAAAAAAAATAGGTTTCGTGGTTTTTCTTACTTTCACCTTGTTAGAAAAACCCCCATGAAAGATTTATTCTCTTCCTTATTGTTAATTCTGTTTAGGCCTGACCTTCATGCTTACAGATTTTAAGGAATAATAATAACCGCGCCACTGTGCCCAATTTATCCCTTCTCCTTTCGCTGTGTTGTTGTACTGTCCATTGATATTCATATTGTGACAAGCGTTGTACCAGAACCCCCCACTGCCAAATCGATCGACACATGCTGTAGGCCAGTTATCATAATCAATCAAACCAGCAGAAAACAACATACCATCATGTGTACGTGCTGCGTCTCCTGCATTACCAATATAACCACTTATATTTAACTGATACTTGTGATCCCGTCTGCCAATGCAAAATAACTATAAACAGCATAACGTACCGTCTAGTGAAACATTATATACACCGTTTCCTTTGGAGTAACACCTGTAGATATCATAACAGTTACGGCTGTTAGTTCTCTTGTCTAGTTTAAAATAGGTGGACGAAGAATCGGCGGTTCCGTCATTGCCTGTGAAATGTTTGTCATGGCAAAAACAATTTGTTTTTTGTAATGACGCACTCAACCAAATTTCATCCCGATCCATACAGTATGTTATGCAGTCTGTATAAAAACTGTCATCCTTGGACGAAACGACATTGTCTTTAAATAGTTTTCCTGGAATTATCTCTATGCAATTAAACTGATTTAATTCTCCAGAAATGCACGACAGCAATAATAGAACAATCGGTAATAAAAACATGATTTTGTGTCATGGATGGATACCCTATATCCTTTGTTTTTCTATCATGGTTTCAATTTCAAAGAAATAAACTGCAGTTTTAATTGCAATAAAAATTATATATCAATACTGAGACTTCCATGAGTTGTCAGTTTAAGACTTGACTCAAGCTAGCGAACAATTGTAGCGAACAATTAGCCAGCGAACAATTAGGAGGTATAACTAAAAACCACAATTTCACATAAGACAATCACGTTTTTTTCGAGCTAGCGAACAATTACAGAGACCTAGCGGGCAATTATGAGAATATTCAAAATATTAAACAAAAACGAATAAAAAAAATTAAAACAAAAGGGATACCATAAAGATTTTGACCAATTTATAGAGATTTTGACAGTCAACGACTGTAAAGGTAACATAGAGGAGATATTATCGTATCTAATAAGACAAACTCCAGAATAGTTTATGTTTAAAAATCTGAAGTTAAGTTTAAAAAACTGAAATTGTAAAAACGAAAAGGGAGGAGGGGGCATACATAAAGTTGATTTTTGACCCATTTATAGAGATTGTGACGGTACACGACTGCATAGGTGATGCAGCTGTGTATCTATTAAGACAAACTCCAGGATGGTTTATGTTAAAAAATCTGAAGTTAGGTTGAAAAAATTGTAATTAAAAACGAAAAGGGGGATACCTTAAGTTGATTGTTGACCCATTTATAGAGATTGTGACGGGCAACGACTGCCTATAGGTGATGTAGAGGAGACATTGGCGCAACGTTTAGGAAAATTTCCAGAGTGGTTTATGTTCGAAAATCTGAAGTTACGGTTAAAAAACTGAAATTGTGAAATTGACAAAATGAGATTAGGGGGGTAGGCCAATTTAAGTTAATTTTGGACCAATTTGAAGAGATTGTAACAGGCAACGACTATATAGGTGTTGTAGAGGGGACATTGGCCCATCGTGTAAGAATATCTCAAGAGTGGTTTATGTTCGAAAATCTGAAGTTACGGTTAAAAAACTGAAAATTTTATTGTGAAATTGACAAAATGAGATTAGGGGGGTAGGGCACTAAAAGAAAAAAATTGGACTATTTTAAAGAGATTGTGACGGGTAACGACTATATAGGTGTTGTAGAGGAGACATTGGCGCATCGTTTAGGAAAATCTCCAGAGTGGTTTATGTTCGAAAATCTGAAGTTACGGTTAAAAAACTGAAAATTTTATTGTGAAATTGACAAAATGAGATTAGGGGGGTAGGGCACTAAAAGAAAAAATTTGGACTAATTTAATGAGATTGTGACGGGCAACGACTATATAGGTGTTGTAGAGGAGACATTGGCGCATCGTTTAGAAAAATCTCCAGAGTGGTTTATGTTCGAAAATCTGAAGTTACGGTTAAAAAACTGAAAATTTTATTGTGAAATTGACAAAATGAGATTAGGGGGGTAGGGCATTAAAAGAAAAAAAATGGACTATTTTAAAAAGATTGTGACGGGCAACGACTATACAGGTGTTGTAAAGAAGACATTGGCGCATCGTTTAAGAAAATCTCTAGAGTGGTTTATGTTCGAAAATCTGAAGTTATGGTTAAAAAACTGAAATTGTGAAATTGACAAAATGAGATTAGGGGGGTAGGCCAATTTAAGTTAATTTTGGACCTTTTTAGAGACTGTGACGGGCAACGACTATATAGGTGTTGTAGAGAAGACATTGGCGAATCGTTTAAGAAAATCTCTAGAGTGGTTTATGTTCGAAAATCTGAAGTTACGGTTAAAAAACTGAAACTTTTATTGTGAAATTGACAAAATGAGATTAGGGGGGTTAGGGCAATTTAAGTTAATTTTGGACCAATTTCAAGAGATTGTGACGGGCAACGACTATATAGGTGTTGTAGAGGAGACAATGGCGCATCGTTTAAGAAAATCTCCAGAGTGGTTTATGTTCGAAAATCTGAAGTTACGGTTAAAAAACTGAAAATTTTATTGTGAAATTGACAAAATGAGATTAGGGGGGAGGTAAGGCATTAAAAGAAAAATTTGGACCATTTTAAAGAGATTGTGACGGGCAACGACTATATAGGTGTTGTAGAGGAGACATTGGCGCATCGTTTAAGAAAATCTTCAGAGTGGTTTTTGTTCGAAAATCTGAAGTTATGGTTAAAAAACTGAAATTGTGAAATTGACAAAATGAGATTAAGGGGGTAGGCCAATTTAAGTTAATTTCGGACCAACTTCAAGAGATTGTGACGGGTAACGACTATAAAGGTGTTGTAGAGGAGACATTGGCGCATCGTTTAGGAAAATTTCCAGAGTGGTTTATGTTCGAAAATCTGAAGTTACGGTTAAAAAACTGAAAATTTTATTGTGAAATTGACAAAATGAGATTAGGGGGGTTGGGTAGGGCAATTTAAGTTAATTTTGGGCCAATTTCAAGAGATTGTGACGGGCAACGACTATATAGGTGTTGTAGAGGAGACAATGGCGCATCGTTTAAGAAAATCTCCAGAGTGGTTTATGTTCGAAAATTTGAAGTTACGGTTAAAAAACTGAAAATTTTATGGTGAAATTGACAAAATGAGATTACGGGGGTAGGGCACTAAAAGAAAAATTTGGACTATTTTAAAGAGGTTGTGACGGGCAACGACTATATAAATGTTGCAGAGGGGACATTGGCGCATCGTGTAAGAAAATCTCCAGAGTGGTTTATGTTCGAAAATCTGAAGTTACAGTTAAAAAACTGAAATTGTGAAATTGACAAAATGAGATTAAGGGGGTAGGCAAATTTAAGTTAATTTTGTATCAATTTCAAGAGATTGTGACGGGCAACGACTATATAGGTGTTGTAGAAGAGACAATGGCGCATCGTTTAAGAAAACCTCCAGAGGTGTTTATGTTCGAAAATCTGAAGTTACGGTTAAAAAACTGAAACTTTTATTGTGAAATTGAGAAAATGAGATTAGGGGGGTAGGGAATTAAAAGAAAAAATTGGACTGTTTTAAAGAGATTGTGACGGGCAACGACTTTATAGGTGTTGTAGAGGGGACATTGGCGCATCGTGTAAGAAAATCTCCAGAGTGGTTTATGTTCGAAAATCTGAAGTTACGGTTAAAAAACTGAAAATTTTATTGTGAAAATGACAAAATGCGATTAGGGGGGGGGGGGGGGGGGGGGGGTTAGGGCAATTTAAGTTAATTTTGGACCAATTTCAAGAGATTGTGACGGGCAACGACTATATAGGTGTTGTAGACGAGACAATGGCGCATCGTTTAAGAAAATCTCCAGAGTGGTTTATGTTCGAAAATCTGAAGTTACGGTTAAAAAACTGAAAATTTTATTGTGAAATTGACAAAATGAGATTAGGGTGGGACGGGCAACAACTATATAGGTGTTGTAGAGGAGACATCGGCGCATCGTTTAGGAAAATCTCCAGAGTGGTTTATGTTCGAAAATCTGAAGTTACGGTTAAGAAACTGAAATTGTGAAATTGACAAAGGGCAATTTAAGTTAATTTTGGACCAATTTCAAGAGATTGTGACGGGCAACGACTATATAGGTGTTGTAGAGGAGACATTGGCGCATCGTTTAGAAAAATCTCCAGAGTGGTTTATGTTCGAAAATCTGAAGTTACGGTTAAAAAACTGAAAATTTTATTGTGAAATTGACAAAATGAGATTAGGGGGGTAGGGCACTAAAAGAAAAAAATTGGATTATTTTAAAGAGATTGTGACGGGTAACGACTATATAGGTGTTGTAGAGAAGACATTGGCGCATCGTTTAGGAAAATCTCCAGAGTGGTTTATGTTCGAAAATCTGAAGTTACGGTTAACAAACTGAAAATTTTATTGTGAAATTGACAAAATGAGATTAGGGGGGTAGGGCACTAAAAGAAAAAGTTTGGACTATTTTAATGAGATTGTGACGGGCAACGACTATATAGGTGTTGTAGAGGAGACATTGGCGCATCGTTTAGGAAAATCTCCAGAGTGGTTTATGTTCGAAAATCTGAAGTTACGGTTAAAAAACTGAAACTTTTAATGTGAAATTGACAAAATGAGATTAGGGGGGTAGGCCAATTTAAGTTAAATTTGGACCAATTTCAAGAGATTGTGACGGGCAACGACTATATAGGTGTTGTAGAGAAAACATTGGCGCATCGTTTAGAAAAATCTCCAGAGTGGTTTATGTTCCTAAATCTGAAGTTACGGTTAAAAAACTGAAACTTTTATTGTGAAATTGACAAAATGAGATTAGGGGGTAGGCCAATTTAAGTTAATTTTGGACCAATTTCAAGAGATTATGACGGGCAACGACTATATAGGTGTTGTAGAGGAGACATTGGCGCATCGTTTAAGAAAATCTCCAGAGTGGTTAATGTTCGAAAATCTGAAGTTACGGTTAAAAAACTGAAATTGTGAAATTGACAAAAACGGAAAAAATTGATGAAATTTTCGTTTCCGTTCTCTAACTTCAGTTTGCCTCAACCAAATGTTATGAAACTTAGACACAGTGCTTATTACCACAAAACGTACTCAACTGTATGTGGAAGTTGACTCATGCATATTTAAAATCTTGAAAAATAGACCAACACTCATCCTTAATGTTTAAAATTAATTATTTCCCAATTAATCAAAGTGACAATTTATATACCTTCAGACATTTATTGACATGTACAATATATTTCAGATCACTTGAAGTAGTATTGGCAGTAATTTTAAAGTGATCATTTGATTAAGCATTTGAAAGGGCTTGATAATGCTTTCTTTTTGCGTGAACCCCTGAGGGTTCACGCATATTTATTAGTTAGAAATATAGTCTATGGAGGAATATTCGGAAGCTAAAAATTATTGTTCATTCGGAACAACTATTCATCTTATCTGTATTAGCTTCCTGCAATTAAGAGCACCTCCATACGGTGTATCTAAGATATTTAAAACATGGCAATAAAGAATTTTCACAGATCGCTTATTCACTTATCTGATATATGATAATAAACAATCTATAGATCCTTTTCAAACATGTATATTTATTGTAAAGCTACATTTTATGCATTGCAAGGGTTTACTGACTTGAGCAAATTTGACAGTTGTACCCTTTGAAAAACAAGTGAAAGTTAAATGGTCAAGATTTAATTATAACGACCTATGGTATCAAACATCTGTTTGTAGATATTCACAGAGAGATATTTTAAAATAGTGCTGTGGTTTCTACATAATGAGTTATAGTGGGCTTCGGGATTTGATTTGTAACAATAAAATCATTATGCACACTTGTCATTTTGACAAATCAGATAAAAAAAAATTCAAATGAAAATAAAACAAGTAAAATAAAGACTGTTCGTTAATATACATGTTTACAACTTTTACTGATTCCGTTTTACAGTATTCTCTATCAATTAAGTTATCTTGCAAGTTAATTAAATGTTTATTTAATTCATTGATGTCACTATTATTTCAGTGACCGCTGCAGAAAGTCTTGACTCGTTCAAGAGACTACTGCATGCACATTAAATTTCAAGTCCCATGTTTTTATTTGCACCATGTATAAATGTTATGTACAGCACAAATTATTTCCTTTCTGTTAAAATTATTTTTGGACTTGTTAAGTATGCAAGCGCACACCAAACAGTGACAGGATAGTCAACCAAATGACGGTGGTCACTTAGTGGTAGAAGTAGAAATTTCTTATATTATTCACACACTGTAATGCTCTTAAATTTATGTGTGTTTTGGATGTGCACTAGTGATTGGTAAATATTGATACGTTTCTGTGTTTTTAATATATGTGACTTAACATTAAGAATTCCATCATTATGGAATCGTTCACTTTTGTACACTTCGGTATCTAAATAGAGGGTGCTAAAAGGGAGGGTCTGAACACGGAAACACGTGAAATAACAAATCGCAAAAACGATGCACGGAAAAAAAAAAACACTCTTGAAAAACGAAGCCAAGGAATAAAATCGTAAATATTAAGGAAAAAAGTACCAAAAGTTATTACTCAGCCGTTCTTGGAGATCATGCAGTCATTATAAATGGACATGGCGACCCTGCATGTGGTCACCTTTTAGCGTCCGTTAGTTGCATCCGATTTATCATAGTAATACAATAGGCTATTGATAAATATCTTGGGACCAGTTAATTAGTTTATAATTTAAAACAATATTTGGGCTGACTTTGAATTAGTCCCGGTTTACTTTTAATCAAATGCTGGACAAGCACGGGAAAATAAGAGTACCGACACGAAACACGGAAAATAATTAAGGGAAAACACGAAGCACGCACATCGAACCAAACACGAGAAAACGAGAAATAAAACGTCGAAACACGGAAACACGTGAAATAAAAAGGCCGAAAACGTTGCTCGAAAATAACCCTTTACCACCCTCTAAATAGGCCATACTAGATGTCGACACCTCATATTAGAACTTAAGTAGATGGTCAATTTCGTTTGCAAGGTTAAAGAAATCTTCAACTTGCTCTAATTTGCCTGTGAAGACCATAAAACTGTCATCCCTATTGACAGTGTAATTTGATGTTTTCTCTCCATTGGAACTTATCTAAGATTTTAATGAATAGGGCAGACAGATGCAGATCTGTGCATGTTGGTGACAATGGGTGCTCCTATAATGTGTTTAACAGTCCATTAAACTCAAATTCATTGTTTCTAAGAATTAATTTAACAAATGCAGTTAAATCTATTTTGTTTTGAATCTTTAAAGTATATTCTCCTGTGTGTCATTAAATTCTAATGCATTGATAACAGTTTCTTCTAAATTATCAATGATCATATTTGTGTACATTGACGTACATCATAGGCAATAAGAATGCATACTTTTTTACCTCGTGTGACTCTATTTTATTAATGATTTTTTTTTTGTATCTTGAATGTAAAAATTATGCCTCTTCAATAATTAGATGTTGGATGTGTACTAATTGATAATTTAGTCTTAGATGCATGATTTTTTTAATTAGTTGTTAGTGGCTTTGAACTAGCTGTCAGTAACTGCGAGTACTCTCAGATCTGTACTTAGTATCTATTTGTTGTTGGGATATACAAGTACCCGGTCACGTCCACTCTGTGTAGTATTTCTGTTTGTATCCATCTGATGAGTTAAGCCTTTTTCAACTGATTTTTATAGTTCGTTCTTATGTTGTACTGTTACACCACTGTCCCAGGTTAGGGGGAGGGTTGGGATCCCGCTAACATGTTTAACTCCGCCACATTCTGTAAAAGTAAGTAAGTAAATTATTTACTATAGTGACATGTGTAAATATGTACAGATTATAAACATACAATATATTATGAATATTAATATTAATACACCCGGCCCAATGGACCTATAAGTCACCTCAAATGAAATTAAATAATTATAAAACAATTTTATCACGTTCTTCAAAATATCAAATTATTCATGAAATTATCTTTTTGTTGACGAATGTTAATTTTAAAAAATATAAAGATATTAAGCTATTTGTAAACAGAATTGCGTCTTTTGAAATATGCCTGTACGATGTATTTGGCTAGTTTTCGAGTATGACTTATAATTAAAAAAATAAGCTTTTCATTATTGTCCATAGATATAAAGGAAGTAGTTAATAAAAGTTCACCAAACACATGTTCTCGTATATCAGAATAGAATGTACAGTCTAGTAAAAAATGAGTTTCAGTTTCGGTCACGTCTGCAGTACAAAATTTACAGAGTCTTTCTTCTGGTCTTTCACCAATATATCGTCCTGTTTCAATCCTCAGAGGTAATATTCCACATCTGAATTGTGCTAAATGCGAGCGTTCGACTTTGGTTAAATTGATTTTTACATACTGTTCTTGATTAAAGGCAGATTTGAAAGTTATATAAGTACGAAGTTTTGGCACTTGTTGTATATTATCATTCCATATGTTTGAATAAAGGCGCTGAATGTTCATTTCTACAGTTCTCAAATTAATAGCAGTTTTTGAATCAAAATAATGTTCTAAATTAAGTTTACAGAGAATGTCTTTCAATTCGCTACACCAGTTGTCGGTACAACGGTTATAGTCTGCATTAAAAGCGAGCTTCGTTATGCGATCATCTTCAAACTTGAGTAGTCTGTTCCAATACCTCACCATGTTTGTCCATCTTCGAAACTGGCTTGGGATCCATCCAACATCCCCATGTAGGGCAAGAGTGGGCGCAAAACGGTGAACACCAAGAAAATATCGTATTGTACGGTTTTGAATATTGTCTATTGTTTGAAATTTTCTGTATCCCCAAACACTTGAGGCATAATCTAAGATAGGAACTACACACGAGTAATACAGTTTTTCGTAGGCATTAAATCCGAAGTCTTTATTGTTGTGAATTTTGGATATGATCGTCCCTAGTGCTCTCCCACCGCCTTTCGACAAATTTTCCGCGTTGGTTATGAAATTTCCGTTATGACCGAATGTAATCCCTAAATATTTGTAATTTTCGACCTTCTCCAATTTGTTTTTTCCAACTGTAAATTCAAAATTAGTTTCTTTAGTTCTTGGTTTTCTGAAATGAATACATTTAGATTTATCTGTATTGATTAACACCCTCCATCGTTTACACCATTGGTGAAGTGTGTTCAACATACACTGAAGATCCTCAGCCGACTTTGCAACTAACGCTATATCATCCGCATACAATAATAATGATAACTTCGTTTCAAGTAAGTCTACCCCAAGATTAAGGTCATTAATTTCTTGGACAAGATCGTTTATAAATATGGAGAAGAGTGTCGGCGATAAATTATCTCCTTGTTTCACACCAGTTTTACAGCAAAACCACGATGTTAGTTTACCGTTAATACGAACACATGACTCAGAACTTTGGTTTATACTTTTTACAGAATTGTACAACTTCCCATCAATTTTATTCAGCAAAAGTTTGTATAACATCATATCTCTGTCAATAAAATCAAAACATTTCTTCAGATCGATGAATGCAACAAATACTGATTTATTATTTCTAATAACACTATTCAAAGTAAATATATGGTCTTCACATGATCTATTTTTTCTAAACCCATTTTGTTCGTCGGCAAGAATATCATTATTTTCAAGATGACTGACGAGCCGTTGATTGATAAAAGAACTATACAATTTGCTAGTGCACGACAAAAGACTTATACCTCTATAGTTCATTGGTACTCGGAGATCTGATGACGGGTCTTTCAATATTGGACATATGATGGCTTTTCTCCAGATGGTTGGAATTATACTGGTGTCAAATATTAGTTGGAAGAGTTGTTGCAATGTTTGAATGATTATCGGGTACTTTAAAACGCCGTACGGAATTTGGTCGGGTCCACTTGCTGATTATGATTTTGCATGCATTACTATATTAGTTATTTCACCAATCGTAATATTAGAGTTTAAATCCTCATTCGGCATAAACAACAGATCTTCCATTTCAGATTCCAATAACTGTTTATGACCTTTTGACTGATTATAATGGTCGTTTTCAAATTCGGTGTTGTTTTTCCCGTTGTAAAGATTTTCAAAATCGATACGCCATTTGTTAAGTACGTCCTTCTCGTTCGTTAAGACTTCACCAGATTCATCAACGACTTCCATCGGAATATCCTTCACATTTCTAGGACCAAGCTTTCTGATCTTTTCCCAGAACTCATTAGGATTCGTTGTTACCATTGTTTCAATATCGACTGCCATAGCTTTCTTGTATGTGCGTTCCGTTCGTCTAAGATTTTTATCAAAAACATCTCTCGCTTGACTGT